AACCCCATGCACTGGCGCATGGACAGCCCGCTGGCGAGGGCGCGCGGACAGCCGCTGGCGCGGGCGCGCGGACAGCTGGCGGGCGGACGGCCGGCCGGCGGGCGCGGGCGGGCGGGCAGCCTCTGCCTCCAGGTGCGGGCGCGAGGCCGGCTGGCCTGCGGGCGCGGGCGCGCGGGTAGCCTCTGCCTCAACGTGTTCCTCCAAAGAAATATGGCCTTGCGTTTTTTTACCGAGCCGATATCTGGTGCAAGTGTGGACTTAAGAACATCAATTCCCTGTATTGCCGTATGCTGAGTATGTTATACAGGGCCTCGGATTTGCGAGGGGCTGCTGCGAACCACATGAGGGTATGCCGAGGGCTGAGGCGGAGAGGCGCGAGCAGGCACTTGGCTCGATCCCATCTCTGGTGGAGACTGACACGCTGGAGCGATCGACGCCGCGGGAATTTGGGGACGAGGAATGGGCCGGGGTTACATCATGGGAGTGGGAAGCATTTTTCAGTGTGGAGGCGGTTGGAGGGAGGAGAGTGCGCCGGATCCCACAGTGGGCCCGGTCGGGGGTCTTGGACGCGCTATGTTGCATATTAAAGCGTTTGAAGAGCCGACCGGGGGATGAAGCCACTAACCTCCTACTCCTGGCGTTTTCGCGCCTCATCCTCGCCGTCCCTCCCAAGCCAGGCATAGGTCAAAAGGCGTTGATCATAGAGCGGCTGGGGGCGTTCTGGGAGGGGAGGTGGCGGGAGTTGTTAGACTCTACCATGGTGGCGGCACGGCCATCAGTTCGCCCACTTGCCTACACCTGCTCTGACTAGGACCCGGATGCCATCCGCCTGTCACGGTGCCGATATCGGTGTAAAGTGGGAGAGTGGAGCCGTGGATTGGCTTGCCTTACAACAGGAGAGTTGGCTCGACCATCTGAGGCCATGGTGCATTCGCTGCGAGAGAAGCACCCTGCTAGCACTGGCTAGGTACCACAGTGGGTCCGTGATTTCACCGTCGATGCTTCTCAGCGGCCTCCACTCACGACCGACATCCTGGCCAGAGCTATCTGTACAGCCGCTCGCGCTTCAGCAGCAGAGCCATCGGGGTGGGTCACAGAGCATCTGGGCGACACCTTCCTCACTGAATCTTCCTGCCTTACCCACCTTTTGGAAGTGTTCAACCAAAGGGTGGCGGGACAGGTCCCCAAGCGGGCTCGGCCCTGGCTCGCTGCATCCAACCTAGTTGGGCTTTCCAATCCTAACGGCGACGTCCGGCCGGTGGCGATTGGGGAGGTGCTTCCGCGAATCCTCGCTCGAGCTCTCTTTGCGATGGCTTCTTACTTTCAGCCGTGCAACTAGTTGGGAGCGGGCATCAAGGCCAAGATGGAGATTCTTACTCATTTATTCCGGTTAGCGCTGGCCACTCACCCCGACTGGTGTGCGCTGCAGATAGACGTCGCGAACGCCTTCAATTCATTTCACTATCATGAGATGTCTGAGGGGTTGCGGGAGTCGCCTTTCTCAGGGTTGATCCCATTCTTGCATGTTTTCTACGGGACACCCAGCGACCTGTACCTCCGAGCGGGCCCTTTTGTACATAGCCTTGAGTCGGTACGAGGATCGCGGCAGGGGGACCGCTCGGCCCTTTTCTATGCGCGTTCACGTAGCTGCAGGTGATGGAGCCGGTGACTAGAGAGTTGATGGACCTACTTTTCATGAGTTATGCAGACGATACCTATATCCTCAGACCAGCGGCTAGGATTCTAGAGGCTTTTGGGGTGCTGCGGGAGCGGTTGGAGTGGGTAGGGCTAGAGGTGCAGGCGCACAAGTGCCGGTTTTGGGAGTGCGAAGGTGGGGATGTGGAGCGGGCATTGCCATTGGGGATGCAGCGGGAGGAGGAGGGTCTCACACTGGTGGGCGTGCCTATTGGGGAGGAGAATTGGGAGGTGGCCCGGTTACGTGAGCGGCTTCGACAGTTGCAGGCTCCATTGCCTTTGCTCCTCCTGCTCGACCACCGCTAGATGACTTCACATCTCCTCGCCATTGCAGTTTCGGCACGGCCGATGTACCTGGCCCGGAGTCGCCAGTAGCACCAGCAGCAGCTTCCACTGCCGTCAGTAGCACCAGCAGCAGCTTACACTGCCATTAGCGCATCAGCATCAGCTTAGACTACCTTCAATCGTGCCAGCACTAGCTTAGGGTGTCCTACCGCTCGTACTGCCGCCTCGACTGGCCCTTACCCCCTCATACTAGCGTGCCATGTTAATGTGGCGACAACGGAACCAGCAGTAGTGGCCGTGATAGCAGTGTCCGCAGCAGCAGCAGTGGCCGCACAAGCAGTCGTGGCCGCGGCAGCAGCCGTGGCCGCAGCACATGTGGCCGCAGCAGCAGCAGCAGCGGCGGCGCTAGTGGCAGCCTTCACCGCGGGACCCTGTCGGACCTGGCCAGTATACACCCCGGTACATGGGAGCTGGAGCTGAGGTTGGGACATGTGTTTTCAGTCTTGATGCCTATGTAGTTTCCAGTCCTGGCGCCTCCGAGGTTCTTAGTGTGGGAGGTGTAGCTACCACCAGTCTAGTACCAGCCTTTGTCGCTGGCTCGGGTGCGACCTCTCCGACTGCACAACTTTCTTGCACCCTAGACTCTAGAGCGTCCAGCTGTTTCTGTCGCGACTGCACCGACCTCACGCCACTGCACACTCCAGTCACCGTCGCCTGTTGGATGCACGTCATTCTGAGTGCATGTCATCCTAACGTCCTGCCGAGTGCTCGTGCTATGTGTGCTTGGCATATGACTACTCATGCGGACTTACTCGATGAAATTCAGCCCGCACCCATTTCTATGGTCACATCCGCGACGGGCGCCAAGGCCATGGTCATGGGCATTGGATGCGCAAAGTTCATGGGAGCAGATGGAGAGCTCGTGGGGCTGAAGAATGTGCTGTAAGTGCAGGACTTGTGCGCGAATCTGATTTCTATCGGCCGATTGGGAGATGCGGGTGTGAACACTGAGACGATTGGCTCGGAGCGCTATCGTGCCTACAATGACGAGCTCCTCATTTGGGACCTGCAGCGGAAGGGAGATGTCCACAAGCGCATGTGGCAGATCTCGGTCCTCCCTTGGTGGAAATCGGGCAAGGCGGCATCCGCGGCATCTATGGAGGAGAGCGACACAGAGGAGGAGCAGCAAGGTGTGCAAGGAGACGAGCTGATTGGAGGAAGCACGGCAGTGAAGGTGTCGGCTACCACGGGCCAAGCAGATTGGGAGACTTGGCATCGGCGGCTCGCACATGTGGCTGTATCTACATTGGAGGTGATGCACAAGGAGAAGTGCGTGCATGGGCTGTAACTGCAAGGAGATGGCGCTCACTATGGTAGTGTTGGATGCACGTCATTCTGAGTGCATGTCATCCTAACGTCCTTCCGAGTGCTCGTGCTATTTGTGCTTGCATGATTTGCATGAGCGTATGTCATTGTGCATGGCTGTTGGATATTATCATCTCTGTGCTTTTCTCCAAGTCTAAATGCTTGATCATGGAGGAGAAATCCAGAGCTTTCCAACGACACCAAGATCGCCTTATTCCGACCAAGATCGCCCAAGTTACAAGATTTCCAAGATTTGGGTTTCTTATTACCTTTTGGGGTTATATCTAATTTGGGTGATTACTTGGGACATGACTATAAAGGAATCTTTGGTTGGGTGGTTAGGAAAGCAACTTTGACTTTTGGATTGGGGTGGCTAGAAGTTTCTAGCATGGGTTGCAAATGTTGCAACACCTAGGCAAAACCCAAGTAGATTGGATTTTGCATGTGACACCTCAAGGACCTCATGATGAGGGTTGCATCCTTGCTGCTAGGAAGGTTCCTACCATCCTTCCTTAGCTCTTGGAGAACCCCTTCCCTCTCATGGTTCTCTTGGAGGTTCCCAACTCCAACTTTCCATGCCTTAATGCTTGTACTTCCTCCACCATTCTAGTCATGCGGCTGCTGGACGTTTTTACTTGGTTCTCACTCTATAGACCATCTTAACGACTGATTCAATGTGGAGATGGTAGCTAAGCCTAAGGCGCAACTTCCTACTGAGCGGATTTGCGTTTAGTTGAGTAATGAGTTCGTCGTAAGCTCTCAAAGTGACGGATCCTGAACAACAGGTAGCTGCGAGGCTTGCATGCAAAACAAGTTTGTGCGGTTCCCGTTTCCACATGCGGAGGGATCGGCGAAGGCGCCATAGGAGGTGGTGCATATGGACCTGCGGGGTCCTATGAGGACAGAGGGGACTAGAGGAGTGCTGTACTTCCTCACCATGGTGGACGAATGGAGCCGTTTCACGTGGGCACATCCCTTGTCCAAGAAGAGTGATGTTGCATCAGCGATCAAAGAGCATTGGTTGCCGATGGTGGAGCGGCAAGCAATGCGGCTGGTGAAGGTGCTGAGGAGCGACCGTGGTGGAGAGTTCCTTGGAGCGGAATTCACCAAGTTTCTCAAGGGGGACGACATTCGACACCAGCTGACCTGCCCTGAAATACCGCAGCAGAACGGCATTGCTGAGCGTGCCAACTGGACCATTGGCGAGGCGGCTAAGACCTTGTTGGGGGCTGCTGGGATGCCCTACAAGTTCTGGCCTGAAGTTGTTTGCCATGTCATCACGGTCAAGAATAGGGTCATGATGCATGTTGGCGACAAGCATTGGGTGCACTACGGGCGTTGGCTTGGGAAGAAGCCATCCATTGACATGCTGCGGGTGTGGGACTGCATGGGGCTTGTGATGGTGCCTAAGGAGCAGAGGCACAAGCTCGAAGTTGCCGCTGTGTGGGCCGTCCATCTTAGGATGGCTCCTGATTCAAAGGGGTGGCTGATGTGGGACCCCAAGAGCAAGAAGACGGTTGTCAGACGTCATGTTTGTGGAGGACGTCATTTACAAGGACTGGCAGCAGCAGCAGCCGGTGCTTGGCCAGCACTCTCTTCAGCTCCTCTATATCTGCCTCCGCCATGCCTTCCTCTATCTCCCACTTCTTCTCCTCTTACTTCCGTGAGGGCTCCTTTGGCTCCTGCTTCGGCTGCTCCACTTCCTCCAACCTCGCAATCTTACGCGGCGCCCCTTTTGCGCCCTCCTCCTCCCCTGCTTCCTGCGTTTCTTCTTGTGCATGTTCCTTCTCCTTGGTTGCTGCCATGAGCGCGATGTCCCCAGACCCAAATTCCTGCTCGTAGCTTTCCCTGCTCCTCTGCCTTTCGATCGCTTCTTCTAGCCCGCTGAAGTCCTCACGCTTCTTATCCACCGCTTTTTCCGCTCGATCCCCTAGGAGCCAAATGTCGGCTTGCTCTGCATAGACCGCTGGTCTCTCATCCTCCTCTTCCCACGAGTAGACCCACCGCCTCTCCAGCGGATGCCCTTGTTCATGCTGCAGCTCATCGTGCTCCTGAATCTCCCTCAGCATGACTCGTGCTAACGCCCCCTTTGCCGCTGATCTCTCGGTTGGTGGGTGCACTGCCGCCGCCTTATCCCTCTTGCGCTCCCAGGGTAGCTGTGAGTGATACATTCCGATGGTCGCTACCACTAGATGGTTCCGGGGTCTCTTGTCTCCAAACACGGAGTTGTCACGTTTGCACGGGCACACCTCGGCAACTGGAAGCTCCATGCCCAAGCGAAGGCCTACGGCCAACGAGAACTGACCAGGGTAAATGGAGAGGTCAGCTCTCGTAAGAACCGCATGTAGCCGGCCCCCTATCACTTTCAGCCGTAGCACGTGGCCTCTGTCAGTGCCAGGCCGATCGATCACATTGTCCCTAAGGAGCTCATCCGCGCACTGCTGGTTGATGAACTTGGAGTGTCCCTGCGCATGTTCCCCGTCCTGTAGGCCCCTAGTGCCACCTATGCCTGGGCCAGCATTTTCTCCTCTAGGTGAGACAGTGTGTTGATGTCTGGCGGCGGCGAGGACCAGTCGTGGAAAAGCAGGGCCGTCGCCCTGTGAAATAGGCGGTCTAGGGGTAGATTCAGGTGCTGGAGTAGGGTGTGTGCAGCTGTGACAGAGGCATTGTAGGCGGCTGGGGCCTACGAGACAGGGTCTATGATACCAAGGCCGCCTAGCCGAATCAAAATACTAGCTTGTCGCCATAGCAGACTCTGCTCCAGCTCCAACGTGGGGATGCGGAGCTTCGCTGCCGTAAGTGCTGCGCCAACCAATGCTCCACTCCACTCCCTCCATTCCTCGGTGCTCAGGGTCCTCGCTGGCGTCGTCCGCAGCATGTATGAGATACGGCGAAAGATGCTGCGGGAGACTATCAGGATGGCGTGTTGCGGGTTGAGCTGAGAGACGAGGGGAAGAGGTGAGGCAGCTTACTCCAATGCCTCTGGACCTGGTTGGTGCAGAAATATTCGCTGCCGATAGGGCTGCAGAGGACCCGTATACCGCCTGGGTTGGAAGCTAAGCCTAGCGGTAGCTCCTCATTCTCTCCATCGGTTGTAGCACTCCATGCAGATGGCTTAGAGACATTGCAACGTAGCCCACATTCGACGAGTTCCCTGGCGATCTTGCCAAAGGCCCGACATGCTGCTTCTTGCGGGCTGAAAATGGTGATGTCGTCCGTGTAGGCGACAACAGCAACTTCTGGCATTATCACAGCGGCACTCAGAAGAGCCGATTGAATTGCCACTGCAAACAACAGGGAACCAGAGGGGTCTCCTTGCCGAACGCCTCGCGAGCTCTAGATGTAGTCAACGCCGAGACAACCGTCGGTGAGCAAGCGCGAGGGGTTATTGTAGAGGTTGCGTACGAGTGGAAGTAACGGGTTGAGGTTCAACCACTGCAGTGATGCTAAGAAGGCACAGCGTTCGACGATGTTAAAAGCGTTTTCGACATCTAACTGGAGAGCGATGTGTGTTTCATCATCGCAGAGTAGGGAGCGTACGACGTGGATATTGCACTCCGCACCTCCTGGGACCACCGCACCAAACTGAACCGGTAAGAACTCTCTGATTATTGGTCCTAACGTGTGAAGAGTTGCCTTCGCTACAACCCGTAACAGGGCTTCCCCTATCGTGATCGGTCGAACCCCTCCGTTCGGCTTCTCAAGTGCTATAAGTCGGGAAAGCAGTCGTAGATCACTCACGAGGAGCCTGAAAGTGTTAAGTAGCCGCTTGACAACACTGGCGAAGAGTAGTAGCAGCTCTTCGTTAGCTAGGGCGAGATCCCTTAGATACTCGAAACAGGTACCTGATGGACCAGCACCTACCTATTCGGACACTTCACCGGGATTTCGCGAAGTGTGTTCAGCGGGACAGCAAGGTCAGAGTTGGTGGTTCATGTAACCCAAGCAGGGATTGGTTTTTCCGCGACAGGGTGTTTCGCTTGCAGTGCTTTGAGTGTTGCTGAGGTTGCTTCCACCAGCGAGCTTGTTGGTAACGCCGCCACAACTTTCAATATGTGGCCTTTTTTCACCAGGCCCTCTGCCCTAAGGCACATGCCTTCCTCATCGGCCTGGTGTTGTACCAGGGCTGCATCAAGAATGACCCCCGCTTCCTCAAAAAGGTCACCCCACTTCCGCCGCTGGAATTTGTGCAGCCGAGCCTCATAAGCTGCCCAGCGACTCCCCACGGCAGGTTCGGGGGCTGGTCGGAGGGTGAGCCTCGGAAGGAATTGCAGCACCATCCATCCACCTGGACAGTTGGGATATTTTCCCAGGCGGAGGAGTGCGGCCAGCATGCACATACAACAGTGATCCAGAAGTTGTGGGGTTAAGCAGTGCACAAGGAACGGCTGATCTCCCCTCCGAAGGACGTCCACATTCCAACCACCCGCCATGTGGCAGATGGCGTCATCGCCAGCCAGGTCAAACGGCGAAGGCACATCCGTCGCTGGCAGCTTCTCCTCCCTCCACATGACCTGGTTGGATCCCCCCATCCACCTCTCCAGCTTGTGGTGTAGAGGTGTTCTTTCTGGGGGTGGTCTCCTCGTCGAAGGAGATTTCTTCATACGCCTCTTCCTCGCCACACATAAACTCTGGGTCTGCCCTAGAGTTGTCAGACTCCCCCTGCTCCTCATTCGCTGGAGTAGCAGCATGCTCAGGCCTGTTGTGACATTCTCGACAAGTGCCCGTTCTAACTGGGATGTCGGATCTGGCCACCAGATTGCACCCTCCACGTCCTCCCGTGAAACCTCCGCGTGCCCCCCCACGCTGCCCGCGCCCAGCGCCACCTATGGTTCCCGTAGCGCTGATTGTTCCCCCGCGTCCCACCGGCATCCACGGGGTGCGCCCGCCACGTGGCGGTCCCCAGGAAATAGCGCCCAGCCTCATCGAGCGTCTGGTTCCCCGTGTCCTTGCCGTGCCTTCGCCTGCGCTTGCCGCTACTCCCGGACCCGTCACCTCAAGAACGGGACTACCGTCTGGCCCCACCGACGTTCATGTTACCGACGGCTGTTCCATGGTGGCAGGTGCTGTTGCAGCTCCCAACGATGTCGACTGACACCCTCGCTCTCGTGGCAACTGCCCTTGCCGAAGCCAGCCCAGGAGGGGTCCCGAGGAGCCAGGTCCCAGCCCTGCTCCGGGCCTCCTCTTCGCTGGCTGGGCGCGAAGCATCTCCTTCAGCTTCCCGCAGGCGGCGCAAAAAGCAGCGCCGGTCCGAGGACCCGATTTACCACCCACCGCCTGGCCGTGCTCCTGCGTGTCGGCGCCCCCGGCAGCAGCAGATGTTCCGGCGGATACAGCGCCAGCCGCCGCGTCCTCCTCGGTACGGCCTCCCCCCCCGTCCCTCAACCAATGCAATCACAGCCGCAGTTGCCGGTACCGGTGGCACAGCCACTGCCGTCTGCACTGCCTGTCCCCGCTCCGCCGCCAGTCCCCGCTCCGTATCCAGCAGCAGAGCAACCGGGGTAATGGCAGAGGGTGTAATTGAGGCGCCGCCAGAGGCAGCGGGAGTCCCGACAGACAGCCCCGCATCCGCCACAGCATTAGGTGCCGCCGTTCCCACCGCCCCACCCGCAGCCACTCCAGCCAGGTCCTTAGTACCCACCCTCTCCGGTGCCGTTGGTGTTACCGGTGCTTGATCCCGTGCCACCTCCCCTCCTGGGCCTGTTCCCGCAGTTGTTTTTCGAGGGGCGCCAGATTCCGATACCGTGGGAAGTCTTCGTTCCCCCCCCCCCTGCCTTGATGGCTTAGGGTAAAAATTCCAATACACAGACAAATACAGATTTGAAGAAAGGAGAAGCGAACAGATTTTTGAGAGAAATCAAGAGAGAAGGAGCCACTTGACATACCCCCTCGCTCCACAGAACCCATTTCGACATTGGAACAAGAGGTGCCACTCGAACTTCAGTTTCCTTGTCCGTGGAAGAAAATGGCGTGCTCATCTGCAACTCAAGCATCTCCTGCTGCATGTTCACCAGCTCGCCCAGCACGTGGAGCATAGAGGGGCGAGAGGACGCAGGCATGGCAGTGCAGGAAAGGGCAAGGCGAACTAACTGCAGCACTAAAGCATCCGGTGCTTCCAAACGAGAGTCCTTGAATTCTCCCACCGCACCCAAGTCCACCAGTGGGGCCACCTGCCAGGTTGAAAGGATATGCCACACAAAAGAGTTGGGAGTCGACTAGTAAAAAGTGCAGCAAGAGACCATATGGTGCTTTCAAGTGGGGGTCCTCGAATTCTGCTACTACTCTTTAGCCCACCAGTGGAACCACCTGCTTGGTTGAAACGATATGCCCTTCAAAAGATGCGCTTTGAAAGAGTTCAGGAGTATCGACATACCAGCATTAGATTATAGGTGCTTGGAAAATGGAAAATAACAATATATAGAAGCATAGGATGGCTTAATGATGTAATATTAAATTATGCAGTACAGAGAAGAGCAACAAGGTAGACGGCAGTAGGAAAGGAAAGGTCAACGTGTGACAGGTACAGGGTGAGGGGTGCATTCCTGGCTCGTGTCGGACACGAAGTAGGAAGTTTGGAAGACACACCGTGAGTCACTTCAGGTCGTCCGAGCTTCCACTTTGTGTCTGACCTTATGTCTGACACGAGCCAATAATGTACCCTTAGGGCGTGTAAATTCGGGAGACACAAATATTCGGCCACAAAGCCGACTGGCCGAATTGGCGAAAGTAACACATTCACAAAATTAACGAGCTCCGTTGCGAAAGTCGCAAATTTCGCGAATGTCATGCAAATTTGATGGCCGTAAAAGTGGTCGACTCGGCTTTCAACATCGAGTCGACTCGAAATCAGCCACGTTCCCGCCCCGTCATTGCGACGTTGACAGCAGGTGTCGCAAGACTCTGCATGCGACGCCAAACAGAAACCACGTTCACGTCACCACCGCACGTACACAACGTCTGGATAGGCTCAAATGCACAGCGCACCAATTTTAGGTGCGCTGCGTCTTTGCCCATGCGCTCAGGCAATCCCATGCAACAGGCGCAACCCCCCCTCCCCCAACAAGCACGCAAGTCTACCCTCGTCGAACGGAAATAAAAATAGAACGAACATCACAGCCAGATCACTCACTCCACTGATTGAAGCGCGGACTATCTATGGCATCACCTAGTGGTAACGACCAACCCGGGGACTCCACTAGAGGCAGCAACCCACCAAATCTCCCTGACACTCAAGCCTCTCACAATGACCCGATGCCGCCACCAATTCGTACACGTGGCGAATCATCCTCTCCCCACATTCATCCATGGGAACGGCCCGCTAGTTGGTGGGTTAATAATCTGCCCCGTCCTGACTCACCATACGGGATTTACGACGATTACGGTATTGGCGAAGAAGCCCCAGAGGTCTGCTCTACCAACGAAGATGAGGAGCTTGACCCGAACATCGCGCGGAGGAACGTGGAGTCTAGAGGCACTTCTGCAACGTCGACTTCGCGTACAACTTCTTCGCAGCCGCGCTGGAGTAAGGAGGACGAGATGCTGCTGATGCAGGAGCGATACGAACTGCACGTTAAAGGAGAATGGAGCTCCATGCGAGGAATGCAGGGACAGAACCAGTTCGCCAAGCTCCATCGCAACTTGCTCGCCCGCAATCCACAGTGACGCCATCCTGTATCCCACCTGCGCCCGAAGCTGCGTCGCATGGAGGCGTGCTGGAACCGATGGCGTGGTGTGTGGACGAAATCTGGTGAGGGTCTGCCAGAAGGGTGCCCCTTATGGTGCGAGATGGCGAACGAAATGTGGCGGGACCGCGAAACCGTCCGCCCAACAACCACTGTGGAGAGTGGTCCCGACGCACCCACTGTGAACGGTCCGAACGTACCCGCCGACACACCCATGACTTAGACCAAAGAAGCGGCACCGGTGACCCCGCTCGTTGGTAGCGACAACGGTCCAACAACACCGCGCACCGTATCTGCACGCGTGCTGCCAGCGGCACCAGTGAGTGCCACGGGGAACGACTCAACTGCCGACGCTGGTAACAATGGTTTTCTCATAGGCAAGTGCTTGTAATATTAATCCGCAAATGAGTGATACATTGAGACGTACATTGCTCAACGTACAAAAACCGCACGTTCCAACCCACCAACCCTACAACCTCATGTGCGCAGGTCCTATCCTGCCTCATTCGGCACCACCTGCAATCCAGTCCACGCCCACTGCCGCGAAGAGCGCTCCTGCCGGTGGCGCTTCACCGTCGCCGTCAAAGCCTTCAAGCTCCACAACGCAGACGAAGCGTCCCCGTGGGTCGCCTCATCCCCGCAGGGCAGCCACTTCACTGAATATTGGCCCAGGCGGTTCACTCCGCAGTGGCCGCACGATGGCGAGGGCGAGAGCGGCGGCTGCGATGGAGGACGATCAGGACGATGACGAGGAGTGGGGTGCAATGAGTAAGAGCGGCCGTAAAGGAAAGCGCGCGTGGGTGGAGGACGTGTGTCGGAATATGACACGTGAGTTGACAGCATGCGTTGAAACGACAATGACACGTATTTTCAAACGTACCCGAGAAGAGGACGGGATAGGTCCAGATGACCAAGACGCCATGAGGCACAAAGGAAAGCGCAAAAGCGATTCCGACGCTGAACAGGCGTGAAACCGGGCACCTCCCCCCCCGAGTGCACGAGGCCGGCTGCCGGCCCATGAAGCCACCACCGATTCCGCGGGTATTGAGCCTCCATGCGGTAACGCGTCCCGAGCACCATCTCGATGTTGTGCAGAGTCACAACCGCGGCGATGGTGGCAGGGACATGGCGGCAGTTGCATTCCATGCGCCTGTCAAGGATTCGCCATTTTGTCTTGAGCCGACCGTTGTTTGCTCATCATGCGTGCTCGCGACTGTTGCTTGTTCCACACCGCTTGTGCATCTGGTAGGAGTTGTCCCGGGGTAGCACGATAGGGAACGTAGGTGTATTCTTTTAAATTGTAGGCTGCGTTGCTCACTTTGACATAGTTTACAATGTCGCCTCGCTCAATCCTTTGTTTGGCCTTTGAATTATTAAATACCTCGTTGCATGAACCGGGCCAGCCCGCAAGGAAGCTCCAAATCAGCCCGTTCGCATCCACGATTAGTTGCAAAATGACGCTGAAAAAGCCTTTACGATTCTTGAACTCCTCAGAGTGTGGTCCCCACCAGCGCGTATGGATGTATGTAGGTATGATCAAATGACCCGACCCGACCCGACCCGACTTTGGTGGGCCAGCCGGGTTCCGGGACGGTCGGGTCGGGTCGGAACTTTTGAGATCTCTGGCCCGACCCGGGTATCGGGTGCCGGGTCAGGCTTGACCCGCCCCCGGGTCGGGTCGGGTCGGGGCCGGGTCGGGTCGGATCGGGGCCGGGTCGGGTCGGGTCGGGCCGACTCCCATAGGCAGGGTTAGAGGTTCTCCTTAATAATGTGTAGGGGCGCGGGTCTAGCGACCTGCGCCTGCACGGCGCGCCGAGATGCCCTAAAACGCGGGCCTGCAATGCGCGCGCCTAGGGTGGGAGCGCGACTTGTAAATTTCGGATTTAAAAGAAACCCTAGGATGGATGGCGCGAAGTGCGAAGTGCGATTGGCTGAGTACTAACTAAACATTATCGTGGGTTCTATGGTAGATTAGTACGCCAATGTTGCTTGGTGGGTGGCTGCTGGCATCACTAGCTAGTTAACCTAACTTAATCCAGATCGAAATGCTAGTTGTTGGGAAAACAAGCAAGCGCGATTGCGATCTGGATAACATTGTCGAGAGGAAACCCTCGGGTCGGGCCAAATACCCAACCCGAGATAGGGCGCGGTACGCGAGACCGGGTCGAGTCCATAATCGGGTCAAAACCCGACCCGACCCGACCCGACCCGGAATCGGGTCACGGGTCGACCCGACCCGCCCGGGTATACCCGACCCGACCCGGCCGGGTCAGTGGTTCAGAACTCCTGACCCAACCCGACCCGACCCGCCGGGTCCCTATGCTCATCCCTAGATATATGTGCCGTCCATGGCACCAACTATGCCGGGAATTCCGCTATCCCAGCGAAATTCTTCCTCCCACAGCGCCACGTCTTCCTCATCGGGCCAGTTGATCCACTCTTCCTGCAAGTAGTCGCGGTTGAATTCAATCCACGACTGGCATATTTGGTGAACACGTGTGTGGCTGAACCCGAACATCAGTCCCAACTCCCTGTATGCCATCCCACTGCCGAACCGCACAACGACCATGGCAACTTGGAGCGTGACATTACACGCTCTTTTGCCCGAGGAGATCAGATGTGTTGCCCAAGCTTTGCACAGGTATCCAAATACACTTCATTCAACGCACAGCGCCTCGTACATATGTTCCGGCGCTAGGTGTAGGAACCGATCCATCCAGCGTGCGCGCTGGATTTGACGGTCACGACGCCAGAACATTTGGTACTCTGAGTCGTCAGCGATGTCCAGCAGCAGGGGGACGAGTATCGTCAAGGTGGTGATCCATGGCACAAGGGCTGCCTGTAACAGCCCCGTAGCTAACAGACGGGTTGCACGCGGAGTGAAAGTGGTGGCCATTGAGGGGATGAATGAAGTGCCAGGGAGTGGTTACTTTTAATAGTGGAGTCAGTGCTGTGGCTCTTGGCTAAATGTGCGTTGCCGCCCGTGTGTGAACGGAGCCGCGGTAGCAATGTTCAGGCCGTGGTCGAGCTTGGAGTGGCATTCCAATATCGGGTGTACATGTGCAACTCCGTTGCACAATTCGGCCATTTGAAAGTTTACAACTTCCCAGAGTCGGCCAGCAATTCGCTCTGGAAAGTTGTAAAATTTGCAGACTTGCAAATACTGGCTGGTTATTGGCCGACTCTGATTCGGGTCGACATGTGCGAAAGAAGTGTCGACCATTTGGACGACAAAATCCCGGCCAAACCCAATTTTTCAAAATGCTCGCCGATTTTACACGCCCTTATACATGTGTCCTGTGGATTTAGGAAGAGAGGTCACAGATCTTGCCTACACTATGTTTACAAAAGAGAAAGCAAATTGATTCAGTGTGAACCGCACTTGGGCTTATGAAAATGGTGTTAGCACCCTTTTTCCAGGCATCGTATACCGTTGTGACCTTTGCCTCACCCATCGCTTGATATTGATGTAGGTGTCCCTTTGCACCAATACAGCCTCGCGCCCCGTGAGCACCACCAGCATCACCAAGCCAAAACTGCAAGTCAAGCAAACAGAAAGGACATCATTTCTGAAGTAGTGTTTACGTGTGACACCTCTAGCAGTAACATTGGACATCAATACAGTCATCCTCACTATTATAGGCCTGTTCACAAGCACTCGTCTACCAAGCCCTCATCTTTGAGAGTCCGAGCATCTGAAAGTCTTTGATTGATCAGAAATGGCAAGGCATGTGTTAATGCCATCCATGGACTGCTAGTATGAATGAGGCAAGAGAAAGGCAAAAAACATAGTGAAGTATAAAAAATACCCCAGAGCGTTCTCACAAACATCCCATGCTTGTCGGATGGTTGTTTCGTCCAAATTTGCTCAAAGCCTGCACCAATCTGCCCTGCACCAATGTTCTGACCTGTGTTATGCCAATGTACTCGCCTGTACACATCTGCGGCTGGAGAGGCCTTCTGAGAATTGTAGTATTCAGGGTCCACATAGCCCAGCGTTCCCACCACGCGAGTGGAAGGCAAGGATGAGCACATGGATGTGCTTCCACACAGCTTCACGAGCCCAAAGTCTGCAACCTTTGCCTGCCCACCATCACCCACCACAGCATGATCATGCAACATGAGATTAGGTTAGGGATGAGCAAGGTGGCGAACACCTGTTCGGTTCGCCTCAAACGTGTTTGAGGCGAACCGAACAGGTTTCGTTTTTCAGCTTAAATTGTTCGCCCGAACGTGTTCGAGGTTCGCAAGAACACGTTTGTGTTTGTGGCGCTACTGCAGAACGCCTCGTGGCGAACACGAACGTGTTCGAGGTTCGCCCAAACACGCCTCCACAGGCGAACAGCGAACACCTGTTTTTGCCTAAACTGTTCGCCGAACCAAACACTGTTCGGTTCGGCAAAAGAGGGTGTTCGAGATGGGGCGAACACGAACATGTTCGTGTTCGCCCTTTGCTCATCCCTAGATTAGGTGACTCTATGCTCGGGTGTTCAAAACCCATGATTATTGAAAAAGATGGACAAGGGTAGAAAAGAAATCCACTTCCACATGCAAGGTTGCTTTAGAATCTTGCCTGCATTTTTCCATCAAGGAGAATGTTGGCCGGCTTGATGTCGCGATGGACAATGTTGAAGTCATGAAGGTACTGCAACCCCTTGGCCACTCCAATCAGAATGTCCAGCCTTTGGCGCAGCGAAAGAGGATTGGAGATGCCGAGACCGATCCAGCTGGCAAGGTCGCCGTTGGGCATGAGCTCATAGACAAGAATCTGCTCCATGGTTCGTATGGACGGGTCAAAGTCGATGCAGTAGCCCAACAGACGCACGAGATGCGGATGATGCTTGCTTGCCATTCCTTTCATCTGAGTGGGAGAATGGTGAACAAATGAAAGGAGAATGAATCATCCTTCCAACCAGCAGCCAATGTTGGAGAGGGCAAAAGAAACCATAGTTGCGGAAGACGCGTCTAGCGTCTTAGACACTGGCGCCTAGATGCTGCGTCTAAGACGCTAGACGCAAGTATAGGCCAGATTAGACGCAGGATTAGATGTAAGCCCGGCAGGCAAAAAAAGTATGGGCAACCATAAAACCTATTATGGGGCATGGGGAGGGGGGGGGGGGGGGGGGGGGGATGGACGTATATAACATTTTTAGGCTGTTTTTCAAGGTCGAAATAGGTGGGAGGGGTCTGTTTTATTTTTGGGCTGCCCAAAAAATTTTACCCCATGCGTTTAGCGTCTAAGGGTGCGTCTAGCGTCTAGTGTCTAGACGCAGGACGGTCCCTGTGTCTTCCGCAACTAGCAAGAAACGTGGTACCAGCAAAGCAAGAGGCAAGAAACGTGGTACCAGCAAAGCAAGAGGCAAGAAACGTGGTACCAGCAAGAAACGTGGTACCAGCAAGACACGTGGTACCAGCAAGAAACGTGGTACCAGCAAGACACGTGGTACCAGCAAGACACGTGGTACCAACAATGAAGTGCCACCAACAATAATGTGCCACCAACAATAACGTGCCACCAACAATAACGTGCCACCAACAATAATGTGCCACCAACAATAACGTGCCACCAACAATAACGTGCCACCAACCATAACGTATTACCAACCAACAAGAACTCACAAAATGGCACCAGATACCTCTCTCTGGAAGTCATTTGTGAGAACTCGAGCTCGTTTGACAGCCCAAGCTTGATTGCAATCGTGAGGAGAAACTCCCTTGTAAACATCCCCGAAGCCGCCACTTCCTATCCTGTTCTCCTCTGCCCACTCTCCTGTGGCCTTGGCCAGCTCTGCCAGGGAGTACTCTTGACACACATATGGCTGTGCTACTTCCGTCTCCACCACAACACCACAACGTTGCCCTCTTCGTGCTGCTACTGCAGCGCCTTCTCCCGCCCCTTCTGCTGTTGCTGATGGTGGTGTTGCTGCTAATGATGGCGATGCTACTGCAGCCGCTGCAGCAGCTGCTGACGCACCTTCTGCTGTTGCTGATGGTGGTGTTGCTGCTGTTGATGGTGGCGCTGCTGCAGAAGCTGCTGCCAGTCCTTCTGCTGCTGCTGATGCTGGTGCCAATGCAACAGCTGTTGCTAGCCCTTATGCTGCTGTTGACGGTGGAGTTGCTGCTGCTGCTGCTACTGCTGTTGCTGGAACCTCTGAAGCAGCTGCTGCCACACCTTCTGCTGTTGCTGAATCTTCCTCCTTGCAGAGATCTTTTGTAAAGGAACATAAGAGAGGGGAAGAGAGAGAAAAAAGACATACAACGGGTAAGAGGACTGGAATACCCACATCACCTTTTTCTATACGTTAAGGGGCCACGAAGGACCACCACCCACCACTCTTCAGGGAATAAATTTTGCCACATTAGGATCACGTTGCCACAATGGAATCATGTTATCACATTGCGATTATGTTGCCACATTGGGATCATGTTGCCACATTGGGATCGTGTTGCCACATTGGGATTGTGTTGCCACATTGGGATCGTGTTGCCACATTGGAATCGTGTTGCCACATTGGGATCATCTTGCCACATTGGGATCATCTTGCCACATTGGGATTAGGGCCGCATTGTGATTATGTTGCTGAAGTGCGATCATGTTGCCACATTGGGATTATGTTGCCACATGTTAGACAACTGAGGCTAACACCACAGTTATATGACAGAGGTTGAGAATGAGTGTTGATACATTTGTATATAAGCGAGAATAACCTTTGGGAAGGGTCGAGGTATGCCTGTGCAAAGGGGCAAGCCGCGTAATGCTCGACTCGTCCCTAGCCTTGCTCGGCCGAGTACGAGCCCGAGTCGAGTAATACTCGACCGAGCATTTTTACACCAAAAAGAAACTCGTTACTCGCCTTATAAAAGGGAACTCGGGCGAGCATTTAGAAAAGCTTGTCCGAGTACGAGTAAATACTCGGCCTTGTGCCCTACTCCTGCATAGAACGACTCTGTACATAACAAGGAAGGCCATTGGTACCACGGAAGTATTGGGGTTTCCAAGGTGGTCCCAGGAAGCCTAGAGAAGCTCAGGAAAGCCCTGGGTTGCCTTGGGTAGTCTAGGGTAGCCATGGGTTGCCGCGGTAAGCCCATGGAAGCCTGCTTAGACCTGGATAGGCAAGTACTCGTCGAACAAACAAAAACTCGGCGAGTAAAACTCGGCTCGACTCGCCCGAGTAAAATTTACAAAAACCGAAACTCGTTACTCGCACCCAAACGAGTAACTCGGGTGATACCGAGCGAGTAACTCGTCTCGTTGCACATGTATAGGTCGAGGGACGCTCAGGGCTGAGAAAGGAAGAGCGTGTGGGAAGGGAGGTGTGCTAACTCGGTGTGGTGAGAGGAGAAGCGAAGAAGCTGAGCGGTAACAAGGCAGTGTGGCTCGACTGCAAAAGGGGGTGGGGAATGGAATGCGAATGTTGCGTGCATGCTTGCAGGCACCAAGTCCAAGGCCAGCTGGAAGCAGCGAGGAGGCATATCTGGGCGGCCTAGCGTTAGGATCTAGTTCATCCCTGTGAAAGCTAGCAACTAACCTAGGATAGAAGGAGGTAGAATAGGGGGAACGGGCCATGGGACTTTTACTGTTTGTATGTTATTGTTTCTTACTGTAATTTCTTCCCTGAAGATAAGCAGTGCTAGACAAGGCCACTACAAGCAGCCAGACGGGGTAGGAAGGAGCTGAGCTTAGGAAAGAGCTGCAGATTAACTGAACAAGGGAAATGGCAAGGAGAAAGTGGGATAAAGAAGGATAAGAAGAGGGAAGGATGAGGCACACTGGAGGAGGATAAGTAGAAGACTCAAGGCAGAATGAGGAAGCTGGATAGGGAGGATGGGGTCAGACGGTTTGGACAGTAGGATGGGGAGGCAAGGCAATGAGTCGACCAACCCTATAGACTCATTGCCTTGCCTCCCCATCCGATCACAGCTCACCGACCCTATAGTCCGGGTCGGGTCAGCTTTTCTGGGGTCCTTACCCGAGATCGGGTCGGTCCGACCTTACCAGTACCCGTCTCAGGTCAAGCACCAGGTTGGGTCGGGACAGGTCGATCCTTGCTCATTGTCTATTTTCACATGAGCCCCCCCCCCCCCCCCCCCTTCCCCGCCCTCCTGGTAGCTGTGCAGTAAGTTTACTCGCAAGATGCTTCTTCCAGCCGCTGCCACGTGGCGGCACGTAGCCCCTCCTTGTCAGCAGTCCACCCCTTTGTTGTAACTTTTTTATACAACATACATGGGCTAAATTGTGAGGTATGGTTGCTAAGGGGCTGTTGGGTGTACCTTCCAACCACAATCTGTGGTTCATTTTTGGTTGGAATCCCAACACTTAATGGACTCCAATAATGTTGATCAACACCATCCAACAACCACAATAATGTTGATCAACACCAACCAGCAACCACAATAATGTTGATCAACACCAACCAACAACCACAATAATGTTGATCAACACCAACCAACAACCACAATAATGTTGATCAACACCAACCAACAACCACAATAATGTTGGCCAAACCAGCCAACCATCATCAGGGCCTCTCACAACTGTAAGCCAAGCCACCTCAACTCATTCGAGATTAATAAACACAGTTTTTTGTTTTCGCACCTTTTTCCTTTGGGAACTGGCAATGATACTCGTAGTAGAGCCCCTCCTCCATCTCAAGAAACATCATGCAAACGTTGATTGCCAGCTCTTTCACTGCCTGGGCAGAAAGGAGGGGGACGGGTGGAACGGGGAGAGTGAGGGGGGAAGGTAGTTCGAAAGAGGAGGGAGAGAAGTGGAGGAGTGGAGGAGAGGGGAGGGAAGAGAAAAGGAATGGAGGGAGAGGTGAGGGGGAGAGCAGGGAGAGGAGGGGGAGAGAGGAGGAAGAGGAGTGGGTGAGGGGAGAGAAGTGAGAGCTGTATGCATGCATCGATTTTTAGGCGCCTCGAAAGCAGCACAGCATGCATGCACGTAATATGTAGACACCTCTTAGGCAGCACAACACTCATGCATTGGGCAGGAGAGGATTTTCTTCGGACTTTCATTGTAAGCATCTCCAGCCACTTGTCCATGTCCAGAAACATCTCTCTCTGTTCATAGTATGCGCATTATGGGGAGACGAGGCGAGGAAGGGGAAGATGAAGGAGAGTGGAGGGGGAGAGGAGGGGGAGAGGAGGGGGAGAGGAGAGATAGGTGGGGTGGGGGAGAGGAGAGAAGGGAGAAATAGAGGAGAGAAGTGAGAGGGAGATGGGGTTCAGCAGAGCAGGAGGACAAAGAAGAGGTGGGGATTTGAGGGTGAGAAATGCGAGGGAGGAGGAAAAAGAGGTGCGGATATGTAAGAGATGAGCGTAAAAGTGCACAAGAAGGATGAAGAAATACAAGTAACCTTAATTGGATAATGACATTTTTCAGGTCACGTAAAGTTGGCCGACCGACCAGGTGAGTAGTTTCTTAACTTGCTGTGATTCACTTGCCTACTGCTCGCTTCACAGCCAAGCTGGTCACTAGGACGGGATCATTGGTTATAGCGTGTGCCACAACCTATGCAAACAGCCAAGGCCTACACACACTGCACCTGCAATCACCCTCGAACCACCTCTTGTTTCAGTTCAGAAGCAATCAGCACTACAACCACTGGTCACACTCTACCTGGTTCCAGTGGCTTCAGCCCCTGCCACAGCCATAGGCAGTCCGTGCTGCAGCCATAGGCAAACAGTGCTACAGCCACAGACATAGCTCAGAAGCAATCCAAGCACTACACAGGGCCCAATGCACAAACTATACCTGATTCTGGTGGCTTTCAGCGCTGCGCTCCAGAGCAGCAACGATGAGCGGCAAGATGGTGTCGTGGTTCTGAGCCACGAGCGCCACGATGTAGTCATTGCCCCACAGGCGCAGCGTGCGCTCTGCCACCTGAAGGAAGGAGGGGAATGGAGTTGGGGTGGGGAAGGGTGGAGGAAGAGACATGTTCGTTCAGCGCCACGAGCGTGACGATGCAGCATGCGCTTCGCCACCTGCATGGGGGGAAGGAAAATGGGGTTTGCAGGGGGAGGAATATGGAAAGAGACATAATAGTTCCGCGCCAGGTCGAAATTACCGAATGAATCAACAAGCAATGACAGAAATGACAACATCAGGCACCTAGCAACTTTGCAGCTAGCATGGCCGACCGCCAGCACAACATGGTCGACCGCCTTCCAGCGTTGCGTAGAGAAGCTGCGCCAGCACTGCAGAAAGGCGACATGCCAACGTAGCAGGTCGATGGCATGCCAAAGGTGCAGCAAAGCGGCTGTCCACCGTTGCCCTGCAGAAGATAGCAGTGCGCACACTCGCAGGTGCGCGTAGACGATTGGCTCGACTTGCATCGTTGTGCATCCGTCGGTTGTTGTCTGTGCCTGGTGAGCCACATCGACTTCGGGATACCAGCCCGAAGTCGCCTTTGTCACTACGACCTCGACGACGTTCGCGTGCCTCCATGTTACCAGGTCGACTTGGTCGACCACCAGGTGCTCTGATCGACCACCAGTGCCTCTGGTCGAACACCACGTGCCGCTGGTCGACCAAAACTCCCATCGAGCTACCCCTTGGTTGAAAGACCCTTCCGTCGACCTAAACTGTCAGCTGTTGTCGCCGAGCTCCCCTCGTCGACCGCTGCTCACTAGTCAAGTCGACGGACTACTTCGTCGACCTCTTGGTCGAACTGCTCCTCCTGGTCGACGGCCCACCCGTCACCCAGCCTAGTCAGCTGCAGCTGTCGAGCTTCCTAGTTGACAGCAACACCACAGCGGTCCCCTGCAGCTGCAGCCCGAAGTCGCCTTTGTCACTACGACCTCGACGACGTTCGCATGCCTCCATGTTACCTGGTCGACTTGGTCGACCACCAGGTGCTCTGGTCGACCACCAGTGCCTCTGGTCGAACACCAAGTGCCGCTGGTCGACCAAAACTCCCATCGAGCTACCCCTTGGTCGAAGCCCGTCGAACAGCTCTCCCACAGTGAACGGTCGGTTGCTTCTCTCGTACATCCGACCAAGTCGACGGCGTTGCCCAAGCAAGGGCGTGGCTAACACTCCACTCCTGTTAACATGAACTCTAGGAAAATGATTGCTCGTGTAATGCCTCCCCCCCGCACGCGTGTTACCCTGACCCCATTTCAACTCTTTGTTGCACGTGAGGCATCGGCGTTGACCTTTTACTATCGGACCAAACATGTCACGAACCAAACCTGGCTCTCCTTTACTCGGCGCGATCTCCACAACAGGGTCCAAATCGTTCTTGGTTTGCTGCTGGTTGGCCTCCCCCATAGCATTGATAGAGGCGCATGAAATACCAACAACGCGCCTAGCAGCAGTGGGCACAGCACATGCGGCAGCAGCAGGCGGACGCGTACATGGAGCGGCGGCAACAGGCACAGCAGTGGCTGGCGCTGACCCGAAGTATGGCTAGCACCTTCAGCAGCACTCGGGGCATCTGCCCCACGCCTCGTCGCGGCCCCCCCTTCCACCGCCGACCCCTAAGTTTAACCCCGCCGCTCCGCAACATGGGGGCCATCCACACGAGCTCTCTTCTGTCCCGCCCGGCTCCCCCCACCTTCGCCACCACTTTCACCATCACTAGCAGCAGCATCCGCATTACCCGGCATCCAAGTCGGGTCACGACGCTCTTCAACAGACTGCTGCCCAGTAGCTTGCAGCTGGTCTATTGCTTGCTGCCATTGTTGCTCCTCTGAAGCCCGCCTCTATGCAATGCCCTCTTCGTGGGCTGCAACGTCTGCACCTTTGGAGAGCTGCCCCAACTGGAAACCCTCCACGAAGAATGGAATTCCGAGGCCAGCAAGGGATGCTCCACGGATGGCCCGAAAACACGGCCAAACCCTGGCGCCAGCACCTATGCTAGCGGCGGCCCCTACACTGTGCACGCGGCGCCCCGCAATCATTACAAAATGGTACTATGTTATATGCTGGGCGGACATATGAGCGATGGCTATTCTAAGACATGGCGTGCAGCCCCTAAGGAGAAATCGCGCAACTAAAAGGCAAAAACTGGATTTACGCTATCCAACCAGCGTGATTTCCTTACAGCAGATTAACACATCCATAGAAGTTGGGAATGTAAGATAATATGCTTTTGTAGGGTGCAACTAATTAGTAAGTTAGCTTAGGTGCCATTAGTGGCTGTGATTTGTCTCATCAATAGGTGTGAAAGTTCTAATTGTCGAGGGTAAAAAAATCCCCTCGACATCATATCCGTTTTGGGTTTCTTACCCTGCAGAGTCGAACTCAGGTCGGACCAAAAGCCCGACCCGACTTCCCTTCGGGTCGGGTCAAACCTGGCCCGAAACCCGGCCCCACTCGGCCCGAGTTTAGGTCTCGGGTCGGGTTTGTGCCCGGGCCGGGTCGGGTCAACCCGCGTAGTACACATTAAGGAATTCGCTGACCCGACCTGCCCTAATTCACGCACAGGACGACCCAACCCGCGCGAGCCATCAGCTCATGCCTAAGGGGGCGTGCCGTCGGGCCGGCAGAAGGTGGGCGCATGCAGACGGGCGGGTGGCAAGGCCTATTATTGGTTTTGGGGCACCCTTCGGAGCACCCTGATTTTTAAGGGAAGTGGGGGGATTGGGGCTAAGGTGGCGAGGGAATTGTGGGAAGGGGCTGTGAGATGCGGGGGAAATGGGGGGAGTTGGGCTAGGAGCGGCAAGGGATATTGGAGAAATGGGGTTTGGCTGGGAGAAGTGAGGGAAATGGGGGGAATTGTGCTGAGATGTGTAAGGGAATCGGGGAGAGTGAGGCTGGGAGGGGCGAGGGTACTTTGGGGCGCAAGTATAACAACCTGCGCACACTGATTTCGATAGTGTTTAAAGAAACACTACACTTTTGGGGAAAAGGTACAAACCCGTCCACATTTTCAATATTAGGGTAATCGAAAAAAATTGATTTCGGAAAGAGTAATCAGGGCATTTTGCCCTTGAAAAAAGGCCCCTGGCGAGTAGGCATGGTCAAACGGCCCGACCCGACCTGACCCGACCCGACCTAGGCGGGCCAGCCGGGTTCCGGGTCGGGTCGGGTCGGGTCAACCTAGGTTTAGGTTCCCAAGATCTCTGACCCAACTCGGACTTAAGTTGTTGGGTCAGATTTGACAAGCCACCAGGTCGGGTCAACCCGGGCGGGTCGGGTTTCAAAACCCGACTTTACATAAGCAGATTGATAGATTCTTTTTTAGACTGTACAATTGTGTATTTCTTGAAAAGAAAAATATATCTCTAACATTCTCCATTTGGAAAAGTATTACTTACAGGGCCCAGAATTGGTTTTAGGCAATACTAGCTAAGTATGGTTTCAGCCTGGCCCACCCTAATGGCATAGGGTAAATTTTCGGTATACTGACAAAAACAGGCTAATTATTTTTCATAGCCTGGCCGTATCAAGGTAGAGAAAACATAACACAACTTTTTAGCGTTAGAAACATTGACTCACTTAGTTAGGGTTTTCTGCTGAATGGTATGATTGTGGCTGAAATCTTGGTGCATCTGAATGTTTCACGGAACGTATGCGCAAAGGATGGGCCACGAACACCTTTAATGCTTACCTAATTTACAAATTGCGAGATACGTTTAGCGGTTTCTACCAACTACTATCCCTTGGTTCCGAGGCCGTGGAGTAAATATGTTACCAAGCTGTGGGATGAGCCGATAGCAGTGCAATGTCTAACTTATATGCTATAGTCTGTGTAGGCTGTAGTGGGGTAGTTCATATGGGGTACAACACTTTAGGGTTTCCTACTTGTACTCCTCATGCTGTTGAATGCAATCATTCCTCGTTCCTATTCTCACATGGCATTAGAGCGGAATCGTTCCTAAGGCCCACCGAACGTTCCGCCCTACCCTAACTGAAATTCTTTTTTTTTTAAGCTGCCCCTACGGCCGCGCTGCC